ACAAATGCTTAGACACTCTTATAGGACTGAAGAAAAAATAAATTTAATGATTTCTCATTTATTCTTGATGAAATTTTAACCATATTTTTATTTTCTTTTGTTGTACAGGTTCCCGGTCTTTAGTGCTTACTTTGCAAGGTATACCAAAATAATGGCTACTGTAACCAGCAGCAGACAGTGTCCATTGCTCTTACAGAGAAGAGAATAAAAAAGTAACTTCCAGACCTTTGAAATATTTAAAAAAAAAAAAAAAAAAAGCAAGTGTACATTGACCCGAATCAAATTGGAAATTTGCTCTTCATTTTTGGGAGTGCAAATTTCAACCTGAATGAATTTTCATTCTGTTTGTTAAAGATGAAGATACCTGTTTGTTTAGGAGAAAAAGTACAAATTTGTAAATTTAAGATTTTTTTTGTTCTGTTTTGCATTTAGGGAGTGAATTTTTTGGCTACTTTTACTAATACCAAACTTGTCATCATGCCTTAAACTGAAATATTTTTTTTTAAAATATTTGTAATAAATAATCTTAAACATTTTTCTTCGGTTGACTGTATTATGTCCTCAGTCCTTGAAGACATTTGACAAGTTTTAAAAACACATCTTTTGTGAAGTTGTTGCTTTTCATGTATAAACATCCTGATTTTCTATCATATGATTGAACATACACAACATTATCAGAAAATAAGAATGATAACTTTTAGTAAATTTACAGCCCAAAATATTTTAAATTCAATAAAACATGAGATTATGGAGGATATTTTCTAAAATTTTTAAGATTAGTGTGTAGTTGAAAATTATATATAAAAGGCACATGTTAATTCAATTACATTTTTAATACCTAAAACCCCTGTAGAATAACATTAGATAAATATCAAGCTGTCAAATCTACAAACGCTTTAAAAACTGTCTGGTTTAAAAAAATGTATTTTTGTGATATTTTAAAGTAAACAATATTTGTTTCAAATAAGATTAATTTTACTTTAAATCAGCTAATATTGCTCAAATAAAGTTTCAGAAAAGTATATTTTATTTTTGGAAGATTTTTTTAATAAAGAATTACATTGCAATGAAAGATAACAAAAAAAAAAAAAGTAAAAAAGTGCTTATCAACTATTTTAGCAAAAGAAAAAATATACCTTACAGTTAATTTAAATTAGTTTTAGAAATACAGCAATGTATTTTCCTTATTAGAAATATTAAATTTAATCTATTAGCTTGAAATTAAAACTAAAATAAAAGCTTCAAGAAAGATTTTTCACTTCTAAAAGTTCATTTTAAAGCTTGGGTATCTTTTTTTTTTCATTTTTTTTTGCAGGAGAGGGGCTACCTAATATATATACTGAAATATTCTATTCTATTCTATTCCATTACATTATTTAAAAAATTGCGTCCTGTTTTTCTTTCTTTAATCATTCCAGAATTATGTGCCATTCTAAATTTTTGACCCTTCAATGATTTTATGACCCTGCCATGCCCATAGCTGCTTTTATATCATATGTATTGAAAGATTCTATTCAATTGTGTTGTTTAAAAGTGTCCCATTTTTTCTTTATTAATCATTCCAGAATTACCATGTGCCATTTTAAATTTTGGATCCTACAACCCCTGGAGCTTATTAAAACCACCCTGTTTATTAATTACATACTTTACCTTAAAGCTCAAACAGGACACGCTAATTATTATGGTTGGTTCAAATTTTTACTTGCTTGCTTTTATGTTGTGTTGAAAGATTTTATTCTATTGCATTGTTTAAAAATAGTATTCCATTTGATCTTTTTAGAATTACCAAGTTTCAGTCTTTGATAAACTTCATATTATAAAAAGAAAATCTTTGTTCTTGTTAATAACACACGTTCACAATTTCCTTCCACAGAGTCTACAAATCAAAAAAAGGTTGAGATTTCCACAAAGCATAAGTGACACATATGGATATGGTGTATACGTGATCTTGGTCTTCACTTTTTAGATATACAAAGTTTGAAAGAAATTTAAGATTGAACCGTTTATAATGACATTAAGTATCCTCAGGTATAAAAACTGCTCCTTAATGTAACCCTTTACCTCAAGTAGCTCCTGGGCCTTTTATACTGTAGAAAAAAAAAAACATCATAAAGGAAGCAATCAGCAAAGAAGAAATTAAATAGGGTCGCATTTTTCTTTATTAATCAATCCAGAATTATTATGCTCCATTTTAAATTTTTAACCCTTTATTGATTTTCTGACTCTAAAACCTCTGGAGCTTATTAAAACCACCTTGTTTATTAATTGCATAATTTACCTCAGAGCTCAAATAGGACATGGTAATTATTATGGTTGGTTCAAATTTTGACTTGCTTGCTTTTATATGACATGTTGAAAGATTCTATTCCATTGTGTTGTTTAAAAAATAAGTGTCCCATTGAACTTTTTATTCTTTTTAGAATTACCAAGTTCCAGTCTTTGACAAACTTAATATTGGAAAAAGAAAATCTTTGTTCTTGTTAATAACACATGTTCACAATTTCATTCCGCAGAGTCTACAAATCAAAAAAAGGTTGAGATTTCCATAATGCATAAGTGACACATATGGATATGGCGTATACATGATCTTGGTCATCACTTTTTAGATACACAAAGTTTGAAAGAAATTTAAGATTGAACCGTTTATAATGACATTGGTTAGGTATACTCAGGTATAAAAACTGCTCTAAAATATCTATTGCCATTCATAACAATTATGAAACTTTAAAAAAAGGTTTGTAATAATTTTTTAAACTTACACATGTAACTTTAAATTGCCTTTTGTTGTTTGGTTTCAGAGGTTAATTACTAAAGTTTTTTACTTTCAAATCTAATAGTGAAGTCATGTATTAGTTCACATTGAAATATTTTATATTTAAATGATTAAAGTAAACATTTATTGAAAAAATAATCTAATAATTTTTAAACTTTAAAGTGACAGCTCTCTTGTTAAAACGCTATATAAATTCAAAGAGTTTAATGCTTCAGTATTATTTGAAAAACAAGTTATTTATTTATTCAGTTACAAACATTAAAAAAATTCTTTGCAATTCTAATGTCATCCTTTGTTCAAAAAGTAAAATAGTAGCCTAAAATCATAGCAGAATTCACTTAATTTTATGTTTGTTTTAGTGACCATTAACAAAAAAAAACAACAGAGAAAAAAAAGGAATGTGAGATGGTCATTTATTTATATAAGAAAACTATAAGAGTTGTACATACATACAAACAAACAGAATAATAGTATAAGTGTTACCGAAAAGTTCTTTTAAGAAAAATTAATTGGTTAGATTTTGGGATATGGATCAGACTGAGGACTTTTCAGCACCTCTTCCTATAGATTCTTTCAATTTCCTTATCTTTTGGTCACTTAACCTTGGAGCTTTCTTTCTGAGATCAGATCTTGTTGCTTTTATTGTGTCCATTTTTTTTTCCTCATTTTTGTCACAAAGTGAAGTCAAGATCAGCAAGGGTAAGCAACTAACCTATGTAACATGTTTGTGTGAATAGATAGCAGGACAGGGAAAAAGAGGGATGACAAAGTGTCAAAAGTTACTTAGATCAATAAAAGACAGGAAGTTGTGAAGAACCATGATCATCTACTTAATGTGTTTGTGTGGATGGATGGCAGAACAAGAATAAAGAGGGATGGTAAAGGGTTAAAAGTTATTTAGAGCAACAAAAATCAGGAAGATGTGGAGAGCCATGATCACCTATGTAATGAATTTGTGTGTATGGATGGCAAAGGGTCAAAAGTTACTTAGATCAACAAAAGACAGGAAGATGTGAAGAGCCATGATTGTGCATGTCCTGAAGGCATACAGCCCATAAAAGAAATACTGTAACTTTCTGAAATTAGGTTTTCTTACTATTATACATTGACTTTTTGCAACCAGTCTCATTATTTTTGTTGTTTTTATTCTAACCTTTTAACAAGAAAAAAAAGTTTGATTTTTCAAATTTGTGTGATTTTTTTTTTTTTTTTTTTTAAATTTTAGTTTTGCATTTCAAATAAGAGATTCTAATTTCCAATGTTTTATCACATCTACTCAGCAAGGCCAAAGAACATATCAGCCAATAATACATTGTGATAAAAATAACAAATTCCTCTTAGATGTTTTTTTGGAAAAAGGGGATTTATGAGAAGGTAAAAAATTATGAAGTGATTAAATATTGTTGGTTAACAGCCATAAAAATGGAACCACTGAACTAAGTTCAAACTCTGGCTGGGACAGTTTGTGTTTATTTTAGGATCAACTTTTTCCCCCCTCCAGCATTGTGGTGTAATGGATATCAGCTTGGAACAAGAAATCAAAGAGCTGAGTTCAAATTCCAGTCAAGTTTGTTGCATTCACATGCACAAATACCATTGGGAAAGGTATGAATCCATCTCTTCTCCCAGCTATGGGTTGAATAGCAGGACAGACCGAGTTCTTTAGCCTTGGTTGGCAACCAGACTACCGCAGAAAGAAATGGCAACCTACTGTGGAAAAACCTTCTACCTTGTCAGCCATGCATCAAAAAAATACATGATCTCCCAAGCATCTATCACAAATGGCAATTAACTGACTGATGGGTAAATTGCAAATTAGTTGATGCTCTTTAGCTAGTACCTGGCTCTATATAGATATAGGACTACTAATAAAATGATTAGGTCTCCATGCACTGATTGAGATATGGAGACAATAGCTTTTATTAAAGTAACCATTTTTTTTATTCTTACAAAATGGTCGCCCATTGGGACCAGGATATATTTTGTTTTTTTTGGCGGGGGGATTTCTTGAAAAATAGATTCACTAGAAACTAAAGTTATTAAGTAACCATTTTTGTTCTTTAAAAATTGCTCACTCTGGGACAAAGATGTCTTTATCATATGCAGGACAAATTTCTCTCAGGATATGTTGTCAGCTGGTTCCTAGTGGTTAAGATGGTCTTAAAAAACTCTTTACTTTTTACTCAAACAAAATATCACAGTCTTAGAAAAGTTTCTTAGCTTTCTTTTATAAAAGTTTCAATCTTGCGAGCTTCATTTTTGTGTTAATGATTCTTTCTGTAAGATTTTCACCCAATGGACACCTGCAAAAATGAACAAAAGAAATACAAAGATTTGATATTTATTCATAATTAAAATGCTAGTTTACTATTTAAGAAATAATTTTTCACGGGAACATGATCTTGGCAAAGTTTAACCTTTGTGCACACAAAAAAACAAGTGTGTCAAAAGGATAGTTTTCCTCTTGACATCACTATTATTTTATATACTACTTTCACTCCCTTGGCAATGTTTGTATTAAAAAGCAATGATTAGAATTTTAGTGAAAGCCAAAAGTATGAAAGTAAATTTATACATTTTTTTTTGTTTTTGAGAATTTACAACAAAAATATAAAATACTATTTAGTAAATTGTTTATTTACAAGAATAATTTTATATTTACATTCTAAAAATGCAATGTTTATCATTTACCAATTTATACCGAAATAAATTTAAAAACAATTTTTTATTTATAAATTTATAAAAAATTATTAAATTATAAAAATATTTGAACACACTAAAATGAAATCTTTATTATTTACCATTTTATAAAGTTTGAATTAATTGCCAATTTGTCCATGTTTTGCCAACCATTCCAAAGAATACAATTTACCAGCCTTGCCAATTGCTTCCAGCAAGATGCTTAGTGTCTGCACTTCAATGAAGATTTCCTTAGCATTTTTAGAAAAATTACTAATGATTTAAAGAAAGTTGGGGTGTGGGGGATTAAACTACAATTGCTGGTGATTCAGGCCTAGGATTTCTACTGATTAGGCATCGTAGGTCACGATTATGAAAAAATTGGAAAATTAAAACAAATAGTAATCTGAGATATAAAATAATTTGAGAAGAAAATGTATAACACCCAGAAAAATCATGTATTTATTTAAATTTTCTTGTTCTATAGTTTGTGGATATCCTAATAAAATTATCAATTAAAAGATTTCATAGTTATTTCTTTATAAAATGAGAAATAATAAATATTACACATTGTACTTGGTTCAAGTATTTTTATAATCTTGTAAATAAACATTGTTGAGGAATCTTGGTAGTATAGGTATTATTTATTTTAGATTATTTTTATAATCTTGTAAATATATATTTTAATATAATTTTTATAATCTTGTAAATAAACATTGTTGAGGGAGTCTTGGTAGTATAGGTATTATTTATTTTATATTATTTCTATTATTTAGGTTAGATTGATTTTATGACATGTCAACCCTTGTTTAGGTTACTTAATGTTGAAATTTGAACTGGGTACCCAATGAGGATTGAAAACATTACTCCATTGTTATGGGCAACCAAACTAGCCTTGCTAACCATTGCTTCATGCCAAAGCACCTCTATTATTTATTTTAGGTTAGATTGATTTTATGACATTGTCGTGTAATAGTGGTGAAAAATTGTACTGTTGAAACACCTTTTTTTTTTGCCATGTCCAAAGGTTAAACTTTGCCATGATCTTAATGGCTTTCTCTACCTGTAAGATTTATTAAACAAATATATCAAAAGCTTCATTTCCTCAAATGATTGCATATAGAATGACATAGCAAATAGAATATTTTTTTTCATTATTGAAATTGCATTGATTTTCAAAATGATCTCTATTTAACCAGTTATATTACAAATCAGATTTAGCATACAAATATGGAAAAACCTTCCTTCTCTCTAATGATTACATGTAGAGTGATACAGCAATATTAGAAACAGAGAAAGTATTATACATTATTTTAGTACAGAAATGCATTGTAACTGATTTTAAATACAATATCACAAATAGGATTTATTAAACAAATTCATCAAAATTTTTAATTACATTTGAACCCAGGATGTGTGTGTATGCGTGTGTATAGAGAGAAAGAGATAGATAGGCAACATGTTTCATTGGATGATATAGACATATGTCTATTTATTATAATAATCCTTTCTAGTTTTCTAATCAATTTCTTGATGTTAATATAAAATTAATCAAGGTAGGTGCCATAATTTTTCCTTACCCAAATACTTTTGATCTTCTCCAAGATCATCCTCAGAGGTGAATTACAAAGACAAATTTATTGTAACATTCATGCGTGTTTTTTAAAAATCACTATCAGTTTGTCTTTATAATTCACCCTTGAGGAAATTGAAAGTACTTGGGTTAAGAAAAAAATATGGCATCTTCCTTGATGAATTTCATCTTAACATCAGTAAAATGACTAGAAAACTAAAAAGATTATTATAAAAATATATAGACATAATATGTCTATATTAGGTACCTCCACTAATTTGCAATACTAAAGGTTTAAAATTAATTTTAAAAATTAAAAAGCTTTCATTTTAGCATTAACTGAAAGCTAAAGGATTTTACTATTTTTAGTAAGCAAAATATTCCGTAGTGTTGGTATAAAATAGCAATTGGAAAAAAATCTTAGATTTTGCTGACGTGTTTTGTCTTCCGACTTTTTCAAGGTAAAAATGAAATTGAAATGTTTTAAATTAAATTAAATTTCGATTTCATTTTTGCCTTGAAAAAGTCGGAAGATGAAATGCATCGGCAAAATCTAAGATTTCTTCCAATTGTCATTTTATACCAATCTGTCTTGTCCACAGAATTGATCAGGGAATTTAACAATCCTGTAGTGTATTTCAAACAGAAATTCTATTGGAGTCAATTCATTTGTGGGGGACTAAAAATAGCTGATTAGTGCCCTTTTTTAGTCATCTGTCATTGCAATGAATTTTTCTTTATTAAAAAAATCTTCCAAAAATAAAATATACTTTTCTGAAACTTAGCTGATTTAAAGTATAATTAATCTGATTTGAAAAAATATTACTTACTTTAAGGTGAAAATAACAGAGAAATGAATTTTTAAAAAAATTTAGTGGTGATTTACATGCATTTATTGTCTGTCAATCATTTAACAAGCACTGATAAGATGTTGATAGTTTTATTTTATATATATATATATATATATATATATATATATATATATATATATATATATATGTTGAGGTAAATTGTTTTTTTTTTTTTGCCGTAAAAACAAATACACTGAGCTCTCAGTGGATCAGTTTTAATAATTAATATTACTAGGATCCACCTGGATTATATACCGATGGATCGATTACCTGTACTATATATATATATATATATATATATATTTTTAGACATCTATAAAAAAAAAAAATTAATATTAATGAGAGGTTTATGGAAAAAAAAAAATCTAGATGTTTCTGAAAAGTCTAGTCTTCCTTATAGTTTTATAAAATAAATATGTGATATAAGTTTCTACATGTAATCCATTAATGCCAACCATCGCAAAAATGGATTGGTGGGCATGAATGGGTTAATAACAGAATGAAAGGTTCATAAATGCCTAAACTGCAAACACATCACCAGTTTATGCTTCACTCACTTGGCTTGAATGTCTACTTTTTCAGGGTCTTCAGCCACACCCAATCCACGTACCAACTTTTCCATTCCATTCCTGAAAATTAGCATTACAGAAATTCTTAGAGAAGAAAAGTTAATATTAATCATTTCATGAACAAAAAAACTTTTGACATTGGCTTTTGGTTAAAGAGAATCTCTTTTTATGTCAGCTTAATGTGACTAATTAATTTTACACTTATTTTTTTTAAATTTAAATATTTTAACACATTTACTCTCCATTAAACATACTGCTTACTACTTTTGGTGTAAATGTACAACTATTTCATTCCATGTCTTATCACATCACAATTCCTGTAACCCATTAGGGTCATAGGAGCACCACATGTACTGCAGCCATAACAGCAGTGGTGCATCTAGAGCAAGATAGTCTAAAAGGGCCCATTCTTCTTCAGTTTTCCTTCTCCTAAACTGGTTACCATCTCAAAGCAAGAGAGTCTAGTCAGCCCTGCAATTTAATCGCTAGCTAGCAGAAGATGGATTCATATTTTTTTCCAAGGGCTTTAGTGCAAAGTGAATGAAATGGAATCAACCAGAAATTGAATTCAGCATGCTGATTTCAATTTCTATATTTTTAACTGTTACACTGGCCACACTTTCCATGTGATATGATAAAGAGAAAATACTAGTTCCAAGGACGAATGAGAGCATCAATCTTTACAGTTTAATAAACTGAATTTTCCAAAATATATATATTAATAAATATACATATTATTCCTCATCAGTAGCACTTATATGCTTAATAGAAATTAAGTATGTTTCTGCTTATTTTCTACTAATATGTTTCAGATGGAGTCTGGTAATTTTGTGTGTGTTTAAATGGGTTCTAATGGAGCTGTGGTCAGATAGGAGTAATATAAGTCATCTGGATAGGCATGTAGTAGAAAATACAAGCATAATAACTTCATTCACCTGTAAAAAAGATTAAAAATAATGACAGTCCTAATAATAAAAAAGAAAAAGCTTAACATTAATTACAAACACCACCACAATGTACTGACCATGTTTGGAAAAAATTGTTTTTATGTTTTTCTTCATGGCAATCCAACCAAAAGTATCCATAATTGTATCACAGTTTAAAGAGATTAGTTGATTGATTTTATGCTTCTTGGCACCCTGTGAGGATCAAACTCACTAATAAGCAACCAGACTAGCCTCGTTAACCATTACTTGATGCAGAGGCATAGGTATTATTTATTTTAGATTATTTCTATTATTTAGGTTAGATTGATTTTATGACATGTCAACCCTTGTTTGGGTCATTTAATGTTGAAATTTGAACTGGGTACCCAATGAGGATTGAAAACATTACTCCATTGTTATGGGCAACCAAACTAGCCTTGCTAACCATTGCTTCATGCCAAAGCACCTCTATTATTTATTTTAGGTTAGATTGATTTTATGACACATTGTCGGGTTAGTTAATGTTAAAGGTACCCAATGAGGATCAAAAACCACTGTCATGAGCAACCAAACTAGCCTGGCTAACAATTGCACCATGCCGTGGTACCTCTATTATTCATTTTAGATTATTTAAGTTATGTTAGGTTGATTGATTTTACAACATGTCAACCCTTGTAATGTTGAATTTTGTATAGCATACCCTGTAAGGATTAAACTTATAATGGTGAATCAGATTAGCTTTGCTAACAGTTACCTGATGCTGAGGCACTGCAATTATTTATTTTAGATTATTTCTATTATTTACGTTAGATTGATTGATTTTATGTTGAATTTTGTACTGGGTGCCCAATGAGGATCAAAAACATTACTCATTTGTTATGATCAACCAAATTAGCCTTGCTAACCATTACTTTACATCTTAAATATTAAGAGGTTAAGCTATTGAATTTGCCCATAGTTTTCCTTTTTAGTTACTTGCAAAATAATTACAGCCTGACAGACATGCATTTATAAGAAACTTGCAGATGGACATTATCTTATAAACATTGTTGAGAGGTACGATTATATTTACAGCAATTTATTCTACTGACAAAAGTTTTTTTTACATTTTGTTTGTATCTGTTTCATAGGTCCACATGAAGAAATCAATGCTTACCAAGCAATCATGATGCCATTGTCTGTGCAAAGTTTGGGAGGTGGACACACAAGTCGACAGTTGTACTGATCACAGAGTTTTCTCAAGTGCTTCACCAAAAATTGGTTACTGGCAACTCCACCAGACAATATCTGAAAGGAGGAAAAAAAAAGAAAAGAAAAAAAGAAGACGTTTCATGATGTGGCAAACTAATATAGTTATTATGAAACTACTATCTTTTGTAGAGATACTGTAAAACTAAACAACGAGTTAGAATCTTCTCTCCTCTTTGAGATATACAGTGGCTGGCAACTCCACCAAATAAAATTTGAAAGGAGAAAAAATCTTTATTATACTGCAAACCAATATGATTAAGATAAAACTATTATGTATGATATTGTGAAAGTGGACACTGAAAAAGAATCTTCTTTTCTCTTTTGGATATAATGATGTTCTTTATTTCTTTATTAAGCATAATTATTGTTAAGATCCTTTGAAATTTAGGCAAATATGGACTTTTGTGCCTGCAAAAAAAATGGCATCAAAGGATTTTTTTTTTCTATGACACTGCCTTTATTTTACTACTTTCACTCTTTGACAATGTTTGTTTATTGTTTTAAAAAGCAATGACTGATTGTAATAAACATATGGAAATAAATTTATACACTTTCTTTGGTGAGAATTGACAACAAAAAAAATTAAAAAAACACTATTTATTTATTAGATTGTTTATTTACACTATTGTTTATTAGAATGTCTGGCAAAATATTCGATAATTGTCAATTGATTCAAATATTATAAAATGGTAAATAATAAGGATTTACTTATAGTTGGTTAAATTTATTTTAATATATTAGTAAATGTTTATAAATTTATGAATAAAAAATTATTTTTATGTTTATTTCTTTATAAATTGGTAAATGATAAAATTTGCATTATATTAGTCTTAATACAATTTTATTTGTTTTTAAAATATTGTAAATATTAAATTATTCTTGTAAATAAATAATCTAATAAATAAATAGTGTTTAATATTTTTGTTATAAATTCACAGGAACAAAAAAAAATGTATAAATTCACTTTCCTCATATGTTTAGATTTTATTAAAATTCTAATCATCACTTTTTAAAACAATAAACACCGCCGAAGAGTGAAGGTATTTAAAATAAAAGTGGTGTCATGGGGAAAAATGACCTTTTGACACTTTGTTTTTTTGCAGAGCAAATTTCTTTGCTTTCAATTTAAATTGTTAGTTAACATGAAACTTTCTACTTTATTAGCTTAATTATTAAACTACATGAGAGTATTTGACAGCAATGAAATTAAACATGGTCTTCGAATCCAGCAGCCAGACCTGAGATTGGCGGTTTTGAGACGCATGGAACCATGTATTAATTACTGTTATTCTCAGGTCCACCCTCACCCAGGATGGTTGCACCTGTTAGGGCCACAGCTATAAGTAGTGAACCCCAAACAAAAACAAAACATTACGAAAGTATAAAAATACATTTTTATACTAAAAATACCAGTAACACATTTTTATATAGTGAAATTACCAACAATACATATCTGTAGTTGAAGGTATTAAAATTGTGTTCAAAATATTTAGATTTTGGCATTAAATAACCTATAGAGGTGTTGGTATGCCACTAAACAAAATCAACCAACCAAACAAGATCGTCTGAGGCTGCCTTAAATTTTTATTTCTGTTGTCAGTTCTTAAGCTCAAAGAGTAATGAAAAACTGTTATGTACAGAAAAAATTAAGATTTGACTAAAATAAAAAAAAAAAAAAACAAGCCAGTGTTTTTTGTAAAATAAATAATAAACATGTTCTAAATAACATTTTGAATATTTGATATTTGCATTAAAATTACAGCTGCATAATCTATTCTTTAAGGACTAAGCACATTAAAGTGTAAAAACAATTCATGTTCATTGAAGAGTGGGTGTTGTGTAGACAGACATACATACATACATACATGAGTTTCAAATTAACGAGGTGGAATAAAAGGAGTGGCTAAAATTTATTTATTTTTTTATATAATTTTTAATAATTTTCAATACTAGAAAAAAATGATAATGCTTGCAGCATAAATTAAGGTGTTAGGAAATTTTAATAAAAGGGTGTTTAGAATAAGGATGCCCTGGGTAGAGCTTTTCTCTGAAAGGGAAAGAACATTCCTCTCTGTCTAAATGAAACTTAAAAAATAGTGTGTGTGTGTGTGTGTGTGTATATATATATATATATATATATATATATATATATATATATATATATATATATATATATATGTTTGTTTCTATTTGAAACTTTAAAAAAAAAAACTGTGTGTGTGTGTGTGTGTGTATATATATATATATATATATATATATATATATATATATATGATTCGTTTCTATGCCTTATCAACCCTTTGCAGGTAATTTAAACCCAGAAAACATTTTTAGAGTGTAAAAATTTTTTTTTGATAATAATGATTTAGTGATACAAGTATTACTAATTAACCCATAGCCGGGGCAATAAGAGGTAGATTCATACCTTTCTCAAGAGTATTTGCACATAAGTGAATGTAACAAACTTGGCTCTCCGATTAACAATTACAAGACATTATTCACTACACCACCTGCACATCCAAGCTTACAACACCTGGTATTCCCAAGTGGTCACTCATCCAGATACTGACCAGGCTCAATGTTGTTTAATTTTGGTGATCATATATGAAGCGGAGTTTAATTATGATGTGGCCATTAGCTTGTGTGTGTGTACATAATTTCAAATATTCCTCATGACTTTAATATATATATATATATATATATATATATTTTAGTGGATACATGTCATTCCTATTTTCTTCAGACAGTGAAATTAATATCCACTGGCCTAGACATAGAAAGTCTTATTAAAGAAAATGAACAAAATTTTTAGGTACATGAATAAGACTTTCTATGTCCAGTGGATATTGATTTCACTGTTTGAAAAAAAAAACTATCAAGATATGATATCCCAACTGAGTGACTTCCAACATAAAATAAAATTTAATTAGCTTAAAATTAATCGAGAAAGATAAAAATTACATACTATTTAAAACATAGTAGTAAGATGTGCAGGTGATGTAATGGATATCAACTCAGAATGAGAAATCGGAGAGCAGAGTTTGAATCCTAGTTGGATTCGTTACCTTCACTTATGCACAAATACCCTTGGGAAAGGTATGAATACATCTCTTCTCCCCCTCAGTCATGGGTTGAATAACAGCACAGACTTGGTTGGCAACCAGTCTCCAGCAGAAAGAAGTGGCAACCTACTGTGAGGGGTTCTGCCTAGTCAATTGTGGTGATTTTCTAAATATATCTTAGATGTGGCAGCAGGTTGAAAGTTAGGATTGAACTCACTACTGAGTTGTAATTGAACTGGCAAGACAAGCTTGCTGACCATTACACCACATCAAAGTGCCCATGCCTAGTTAGACATGAATTGAAAGGTATGATTACCCAAAAATGTATGACCCTGAACTGTGTAGTAAGCATCCATTTATTTTTTGAGATAATGGTAGTGATCTGTTTAGTTTATTTTATAGGAAATTTCCATGAAAATGAATAAACAAGTTGGATTAAGCATGGGGGTTTGGAGTTTTGTTTTCAAAAATTATTAAGCTGGATTATTAGAAACTTGAGAGTAAGTATTAAATGCTTCCTTTATTTTAGATACTTGTTGCATTAGCTTAGCTGGTTTTGTTTTTATATAAAACTGCATGTAAAGTTCTAGTGACATTATTTATATTGTTCGGGCCATTGTCCTCATCTTTGTTGCCATATTTATCACGACAATAGTCCGAACAATGTAAATAGTGTACATAATACCTCCTCTCAGAAATGTAGACAGATTCTAGTGATATCTCGTTATGCCTGCTTGGTCTCATGCTGTCCACTGACATGAGGTGGAATAAATACATTGAATCAATAGCTTCATCTACTGCAAGGAAAGTTGGTTCTTTGTATTGTGCCAGTAAATTCATCCTTCAAATCTATAAATCAACCATCTGTCATATTTGGACTGGTGCTCCCACTGTATGTCTTAAGGTCCTCAACAAAATCCAGAGATGAATATGCAATGTAATAGGTCTTGATCTGGCATCTAGTCTACAATCGCTTTCCCACAGACTTGCTGTGGCTTCCCTCTGTCTCTTCTTCAAGTATTTTCACGGCAAGTGTTCTGACAAGCTACTTTCACTGGTTCTCAGACTGTACGAATTTAAGCAAGCTACCAGGCTGACATCTCGCCCCCCTCCCTTTCACTGTCAAAATGGTTAAATGTAACCATCTCTTCTACTCAAACAGCTTCTCTTGCACTTTCCATCTGTGGAACTCTCTTCCCCTTACTTGCTTCCCTGATGACTATAATCTTCAAATATTCAAGTGTAATGTCAATTGACATCTGACACCCTGAGCTTGTTCCCCTGTCCTTCTCTGTATCCTTTCCTCAAACATGCCTCTTTACTCTTGTTCTCAATCCTCTGTAACCCCTTGTGTGCTAGTGGCACTCCCACCTTGTTTGGGGGTGAATTGCTTTAAAAAAAATATCTCAGTGTTATATTTTTTGTCTCATTGTTTTGAGTTCACAGAAATTTATTTTCCAATTACAAATTGGTCTGTTTCTGCAGATTTCTGCCGGCAGTATCAATGACAGTATATTTAAGGGATAATATCACATTCTTAGAAAGTTAAAGTTAATTACCAGTGTTTTCTCTTGTCGCAATAGGCCAGTCATTTCTGTAAAAACAAGGGCTCTTTGGAGTCGTTTGGCCAAATGTTTCAGGACACCACACTGGAAGGAAGCACACAAATCAGCAACATTTGAAATGACACCATCTCCTTGGATATCTGTAAATAAAAGAATGTACATTAGAAAGAAAGAAAAAATTTTTTAAAGCAACCAAACAACTTTCACAAACAGCACATGTACAAAAATAGTTAATAGCCACACTGGTTGTGTACAATCACCAAAGTTAAACAATATTGAGCCTGGTCAGTTCCTTACTGGGTAACCGCTCTGGAATACCAAGTGCTGTAAGTTTGGATGTGTGGGTGGTGTAATGGATAATGGCTTTGAATTGTTAATCAGAGAGCTGAGTTCTGATTCCCATTAGGTTTATTATATTAATTTACACACAAATCCCTTTGGGACAGGTATGAATCTGTGTCTTCAACCCCCCACCCACAGCTATGGGTTAATTAATAAGACCTGTATCACTAAACTATTAGTATCTTTAAAAAAAAATTTTACAATCTGAAAATATTTTCAGGCTTTTAATAATCTGTAAAGTGTCAATAAGCTGTAGATTAAAAAAAACAACCAACTCACACAAAGCTAAAAGACTTTATAATTATTTTTGTTAAATTTTGTCTGAATTTCAGCGATAAGATCACACTGATGTCTTCATCTTTGTTGTTATTATCACAATATTTTAGCTATTGTACCCTCTGGACTTCTTAAGGTGTCTGCCAATCTGAATAACTTTCAGGGAATTCTAAACTGAACCCTTTATTTACTTTACAAGAGTAGATTGTTCACATTCCACTATCCATGTCTAAGAATATCTTGCTCTTTTTCTAGTACTATCTCTACTGAGTCTGAGTCTATACAACCCTGCCTAAGGATTAAATTGACAATTACTATGTCTCCAAATTCAGAAATCAATGCTTTAATCTACAAGTCTATTGTCCCATCAGAAGATCCTGAATCTCGAAGTGAATGCCTTAAAATTAATCTTCTTGCCAGCTGCTTGACTGCCTGCCACTTCTTTCTTTTTTTTTTCTTTTGTCAACATTAAAGATTAAGGCAAACTATTGCTATGCTTGACTGTCTTTGCTTATCACTTCTCTTTCTTTTTGTCAATGTAAAAGATTAAGCAGGCAAACAATACTGTTGTGGTGTTTTCAGGATCTATAATAGCAAGGAGTTCTCAGTTCAACTGCAAAAAGATGGTATTTTTCTACATGCATACTTGAATACTTAAAGCTGTGTTTAAAGTGGGAATCCCATGCATGTATAAATATGTGGTAACAAAAACTGTTCGGCTCTCTTATCATTTCTTTCCTGATATGCCTCAGGCATCAAAGATTAACTCTGACCCTCCTATACTTAGTGCAATGGAGTTGTCCCCTGGAGCTGAGCCTGTTATTCTTTTAATCAAATCCAACCATTAAATGTTAGAGTAAACATCAAAAGGGTGATATTTACCTGATAGCCTAATCAAATGGCATAAAGCTATATTTAAAATGAGAATCCCACATATATATAGAATTAGTAACAAAAATTGTCCCGTTCCCTTAACAATTCCCATTTCGGATAACTCGGGGTGGAGTAATGGATAGCAGATCGGATTGAGGAATCGGAGAGCAAGTTTGAATTCCAGTCAAATCCATTACATTCACTTACATGCTAATAACCTTGGGAAAGGTATGAATCCTATTCTTCTCCTTCCAGCTATGGGTTAAATAGCAGGACAGACCAGGTTCTATAGCTTTGAATGGCAACTGGTCTACCACAGAAAAAAATGGCAACCTACTGTGGAAAAAATCTGCCTCGTCAGTTATGTATCAAAAGATAAATGATTGCCTAAGCGTGAATCACACATGGCAGATAGCTGACTGACAAGCACCAGGGATTAACACATTCCCTCCCAATCTTAGTACAATGGGAGAGGACCTGTCTCAGTGGGGAGGGATGGTTCCCCAGGAACTGAGCATGTCATATCCCAAATCAAACCCAACTACAATTGGTTAGGATAGATTGTGAAAGAACCATTTTGACAATTACAAAAGGATATTAACCTGAATGACCACGCAAACAGAATATGGCACAAGGCCATGTTGAAAGTGGCAATACCACAATTACATGGAATTAGTAATTGTCCAGTTCACTCAGCACTTCTCCAATGGGATACTCAAGGCATCAGAAATTGATCCTGTCTCTCAATCTTAGTGAAATTTAAAATGGATTTTTCTGTATTTGGTGGGTTGTGGAGACATATCCCTTTAAGATATAGGTGATCATGGCTCTCTACACAATCCTTTTCTTTATTATCTGTGACTTTTAATGTCTTCTTTGGAAAGAAAGTCAATTGGTTTTCCATTAACTTCACAGTTTAGAATTCAAAGTATTCTTTCTTAGATTGGTTGCCACCCAAAGCTATAGAGCTAAGTCTACTTTCTATTTCACCATAAGCTGAGAGGAATTGAGCTAGATTCATACATTTCTTATGGATATTAGCATGAAAGTGAATGCAACAGACTAGCCTAGAATTTGAACTCTGCTAACCAATTCCATTTTCCATGTCAATATCTGTTACATTACTTCCACATTCCTATTTTCTGTTTACAATGATAAAGTAGCTCTGAATATGTATAAATCTTTAATGGTACAGGGTCATCAGGCCACAATTAGATTTAAATTATAAAAGCATTATATCAGCTAATTGTGATTTCTAGGTATATTTCCTTTTTATGGACAAAGCCCCAACCAAAGAGGACTGATTTCACCCAGTCTAGACAAACCAAAAAGAAAGGATTTAAGATAACACCTGTGAGCAGGTATGAAATTCATTACTTACTTTGCTTTTTTTCACAGTCAGCAATATACCTGTGCATCAAAGAAATGATTCCTGCAAATGAGAAATTGCAGTCTGCAGACTTTACCATCACCTGTGGAAAACTGAAGGCATTTGGATCTCCATTTTGAGCAACCAGTTCTACAGATGCCCCTCCACTCAAACCGAAGCATTCTTTCAGGTTTTTCAACTTTAAGCTTCGAGCCACCTGCCAATGAAAAAATAAATGATCACCAATTTAATTTACTCCTTTTGCATGTGTTCTTTGATTATATAATTTATGGAGATAATGGGACAAAGCTTTTTTAATAAAGCATTTTGCCAACCATGTGTTAGGTCCAGCATCTTCAGGTTGGAATGAAAAACAAAACTGTGTGTAAGGAAAATATGCTAGATATTTTTAGGATAAAACGGACAGTAAATTACATTACCTTATCAGAGCTGACGTCTTGAGACCAGGGTGTTTTTTATTATTATATATATATATATATATATATATATATATATATATATATATTAGTGTCTATGAGATTTTAAATCAGCCCACTCCAAATAGATCACCATTTTCTTCTCTATTAGCTTGTATTATGCTACTATTGCTTTTGTGATGATTGGTGATATGTATGGTCTTGGTCATGAGTATATCGTCAAGAATTATGAAATCAGCACACTTTCAATATATTTTTGTTTCTTAGTCAATTGTTTTCTCTCCTGATCAGACAGGCATTTATTGTTGAAATTGTGGTCAAGTGTATTACAGTAAACTACCAGTGTGTTTAAAGTGTTGTTATGCTCATATGGTCTTTCTTTGTGGTTTCTGGATGTTTCCCCAATGTATACTATTAGATTTCCTGAGATCTGTTATTCTTTTTGCATTTTTCAAAAGGAATGCTTTAATAGATCTGATGTTTGCTATTAAAGAAACTGTCACCCATTTTGAACAATTCTTTAGCATGAAACAGTGCTGTGAATGGGTGAATAAAATGAAAATGTCATTTTATGTGCATTAAAAAGCTCTTTTAAAAGAATATAAAATGATGCATCTTTGAATACAAATTACTGATAATACACAATAACAAACACAAAGCCTACAAAGAAAAATCCAAAAATCCACAGATAATAATAATCCCAACAATCATGACAAAAGTAGACACACAATTCGACCTACTAACTCCTTAAAAGCCACCATTGAAAATAAGTTATCCAACCTTAACCTAAAATTCATCAACAACACTTTTAAAGCAATAAGAGATGTAGTTAGCACTGAACGAGATAGCAACAACAGGATAGAGAAAGGAACATACAAAATAGATTGCTGCGACTTGTAATCCCGGATATGCATCCACTCACTGATATGCACATTTTGTTGCATAGATTGCAAGAGAAATCAGGTTGGTTATCATAGTAATAGATTGTGTTGTCATTTTTGTGTGTGTGTGTGTGTGTATATATATATATAGAGAGAGAGAGAGGGAGGGAGGAAGAGAGAGACTGTTTCACTGTACCACAGTTCATCAGTATAGCTAGACATCCAATTGCTTCAAGCCAGGATCAAAACTCGATTGATTTGATATCAATCAGAGACTTTTATCCCTAGGTTATCAGCGCAGAGCAGAGAAAGAGGATTTTTAATGCATTATATATGGGATATATAAATGCCATAGTGCTGAATTCTCACAAAGAGCAATGCATTAAAGCAGCAGCAGCAGCCATTAAAAATTCCCTTTTCCCCATAGTGCTCAATCAGCGAACAAGAGCAACACACATATACAGTGTGTAAGTAAATCTACACTGCATAATGAACATCAGTTTCATAGCCAAAATAATCATCAGACTTAGGGTGTGAAAATGCTAGCCATTAAGGAGTGTTCATTTCTCTGTCACCATTGTTCATTTTTATAAACACTATCCCCAATATTAAGCACACTTTTTTCATAAAAATAACTAATATATATATATATAATTCCTTATATAAATAATTTTTTCTGGCCAGCTACAACTATGAGTTTCATGCTTGCTGTAGCATGTGAGCAGCTTACATTGCTTGCAGTTTCTAGATACTTACCACAACAAAACCAAAACACACAATCCCAGGTAGTCAGCACACTGATCAAACCCAAGTTTGAAATAGACGCCTCATTTTATTTTAAACTGTTTATTATGGATGTGAGCACCCTCAAGAAATCTTAATAAAGTAAATGTGCTCTAAGATTTCTTGAGTGCACAGGCTGATAAGTGTAATACACACTGTTTAAAATGAAACAAAAAAACACAGCATCTATTTCAAACTAAAAAGTAATATTTGTAGTAATAAAAATGTCTGATTAAAAATCCATTAATTCTGTATAAATATAGATCTGTATTGCTTTATCATTATAAAGATGAAATGCTTCATAGAGTAAATATAATCAGATGTTTAATTTTTACCCTATAAAGACAAGAACTTAAATGTTTCTGTGTGTCCATTCTATCTAGTCAATATATTTCTGCCCGAATTCTATGATTGTGAAAACTAACCTTGTCAAAGGCATCACCTGGGGCATTATCCAGACTAGTTCCCAACAGAACAAAATCTTCCACATCTTTGGCCACAGCCAGAAGACAGTGACCACCACTTGCCAAAAGAACAAGAAAAGGATATTCAACTCTGCAAAAACATAAAAAATAAATAAAACATGAATGGAGCCAATGCAAACATTTTCAGCATTTGTTAAGACAAAATTCACTAATTCATTCATCTGCTTCTCTTATAGAATAGACTAAAAAAATATATAGACTATTCTTATAAGAATAGACTAAATTGTGACAACAAAGTTGAGATGTCTCTGAGGTTCATCTTCCTCTTTACTTCAGATGTTGAGATAGAAAATTGTTCCTTTGCATGCTTTACAAAACTATATATATATAAAGTGATAACAAAGATAGTGTAAAGCCAGAAATGCTGTCAGTCAATGGAAGTCTAAAAGAAAAGACATTTAAGGCAAGCAATCTTTGCAATAAAGTACTTGATATTAGAGCATTAATATGATTAATATAAAATGTTACTTAGCTGATTGGTGTTATATTCAGTACTCCAACTCTAGAGTTTCGTAGATGAACCTTTTTTGTAATTGTTCAGTCCAATCGTCAGGAGGTATCAGCAATTGACTGTCGATTTTCTCATTTTTGTTATTTTTATATTGTTAAAAAATAATCTAAATACTTTTTATTGGAGGGTAGGCTTATTTTTTTCTTCAGTGTCTGTGTGTGTGTCTGTGTGTGTGTCTGTGTGGTTGCTGATGACTTAAAAAAGTCAAAAGCTTGGACCATATTTCTTGTCCTTTTCTAGGGTTATTGTGACTACAAAGTCGAGTTGTCTCTGAGGTTCATCTTTCTCTTCTCTACTTCACCTGTTATTTGAGATAGAAAATGGTTCATTTGCATTGCACGCTTTTATATATATATATATATATATATATATATATATATATGGAGAGAGAGAGAGAATTAATACAATAAGTTTGTCACTTAGCTGATTGCTGTTACCATCAGCATCCTGACTCCAGAGTTTCATAGACAGATCGACCAGGAATCACTCTGTCCACTCGTCAGAGGATATCAGCAATTAACTGTTTATATTTCTTGACTTTCTTTTGTTATATGCACTTTTCATTGGTGCAAGTTCTTTTTTTCATTGTGTGTGTGTGTGTGTGTGCGCATTCATGTCCATCTGTGCGTATGAGCACACGTCTAGAATGTCATGGTTATTTCTCCTTTTCATCCTTTTTATCACTTCATACCTACTCCTTATAGGTTTTTTACTTTTTCTCTCTTTTTCCTCCAGTAGTACCCATTTTGATTTCTGATTATATATATATATATATATATATATATATATACACACACACACACACACAATGAGAGAAAGAACAGATGGGGTAAAAATCCACAGTTCGTAGCATTTATTTGTTAAAAAGTGCTCAATACAAAGTAGAGCAAAATCATACTTGGATACACTAATGTTACATTTGTCGCAGTAATTGTTTCCTAGCATCGTTGAATGGCATGTCTAAGTATCAGTCTTCATGACATGTAATAATAACCCACCCACCTCCACTCTCTGACCTTATTTTTTTATATGTTAGTGTAGATGTGATGTTCATTGGTTAATCTAGACATACCCATAAGTATATTTTTAATCCTGATTTTATTACAAAGACTGCTTGCCTTAAATGCCTTTTCTCTCAGTATCCCATTGACTGTCAGCACTTTTGGCTTCATACTATCTTTGACATCACTATTTACTGTGACATTCTTCATGGCTGAGCAGTAAAGCATGATGGATTAAACAGAAATAATCAAATAATAGGAGTAGATAAGTTCACCTATTGTCAGGTTCACACTCCTCCCCAGTTCTTTGAACAGATGCAGAGGTTTATTCTTTGCTTCCTGTTTAGTATTGTATTTCTAGTTCCTTCTATATCTTAACATTTTCTTTCACTCCCAGTAGCTCCTTGTGTCTTCGTGGCATTATTGATTTGCTTCGAGTGAAATGAAGGTAGTTTTCACTACAAAAGAATATGCAGGTTCTATTCCTTCCAGAGAACACATTTTCTTCACATGTTTTCTAAGATTTCTCAAGTTCACAGGCTGATAGATACTATTTAATAAATAAAAATGGGGTGTCTATTTCAAATACAAAGTATCCACTATAATAAGATTCGGTGTAATATAAATCTTGGATTAAAAATAAAAATCCATTAGTTCTTTAGATAAATTTGTTGATTCGAAAATATTTTACCTAAATAAACAACATATTTCTGATATATAATTGATGCTTTGTTAATATAATCCAGCAAAACAATATTATCTGATAAACTGAACAACATTATATATACTACAACTGAATTTAATTATGAAACAGAAATAAACAATGTTGTTAGTCTGTTACTTAAGTGCCACACGTAATACCCAATTGGGTGATCATGTCTTTTTCAATTCGTGACTGACTAGGGAGAAGATTTTCCCATGGTTGGTTGCAATTTCTTTCTGCACTAGACTGGTTGCCAACCAAGGCTTTAGGATCCTCTTTCCTGCTATTCAGCCCATAGCTTGGGGTGGAGGGAAAGAGATAGATTTATACCTTTTCCAAGTGTATTTGCATGCAAGTGAATATAACAAGCACAATGGGAATTCGAACTTGGCTCTCCAATTTCTCATTCTGAGCTGATATCCATTACACCACCTGCACATCCCATTACGAGTAATATAAAAAAAGAAGTTGTAATATATTTCAACTTACTGTTCTATCATGCGACCAGTAAGTGCATGGGCTTCCATGTGATGAATGGGAATCATTGGTTTTCTGTAGAAACAATACAAATAAAAGTGTCTGTTTAGTAAAATTCTGTTGTAGTCTGTCTCCTTTATTAGTATAATGTCATTGTTGTAAAGACTAATAGGGACACAAGACGAAATCTCTTATACATAACTTTATTATTTATTCACATTCAGACTTTAGCAGTTAATATTGGTGATAGGCATGAGGCTTTGGGGACTTTCTTCAAACATGGATTCTTTTTCTCTCTTGGATGGGGTACTTAAATACCTTCCTGTCAGCCATGTACACATCCTAAGCACAGGTGGTCAACCACCTGTTTACACTGATATCCTGTGTAAGGCAGGAATCTGCACCTGGTAGCTTCCTGCTGATGCATCTAGTTACTATGGTGTGATACTGAGTGCAAAATCTATTTTGCTATCATCTGAGGTGAAACCAGTACATATTGGGGCCAACATAGATCAACTACTCTTAAAATAAAATATTCATTATTGACATTAAATTTGATTTGAACAATCTGGTGTGAATCATATACTACAATTATGAATACAACAAGCACATAGTCCATAAGCCAAATACATATTGGGGCCACCACAGATCAATTCTTTTTATAATAAAAGGCTCCTTATCTGGTATTTCTTGGCATGAATCATATACTATATTGGGTTGGCAAAAAAAAGTCTGTTTAGTTAATTAAGAATAAAAGACTTTTTTTTAAATTTTCAAGCTTACGGAAGAACAAATCTACCATTTCATTTCACTATCTTCTGTCAACTTCATAATACCATCCTTACAGGTGTGGTTGGTTGTTTTTAGTGGCATATCATCATCTAGGAGTTATTTAATCTTCAACACTCTGCATTGTTCATAATATTTCTTCCATTTTCAATGTATAAGGCAGCCAATAAACTGCAGTAGCTTAGTTCTTGATTTTAGTCAGTCATTTTCTTGTTGACATAGCAGGACAAGACAACACAACTGTGAGATTCAAACACACTATTGTTTAGTAAATCATCTGAAATGGCAGAACAAACTTTTTGCTCAGGAAACAAAGTTACAGAGTGTTAAAGGTTAATAACGAAATCTAAATATTTTGTATACAATTTATTTAGGGAGGGGAGTAAATTTAATAATAGCTTTAGTGATTCAAGTCTTACAAATTAATCCATAGCTGGGGGAAAAGAGGAGGATTTATACTTTTTCCAAGGATATTTGCACGTAAATGTATATAACGAACCCAACTTGAACTCAGCTCTCCGATTAACAATTCTGAGCTATTATCCATTACCCCATCCACACATCCAAGCTTACATAACCTGGTATTCTTTATCCTCTCAGAATTTTTATTTATTTTTCTTCACAAGGAATTACTCAGTGTCTTTTGCAGTCTTCCAGGGAATTGAATTTTTTTTCATTAAAAGTAATGCCTTGATTTAATTAATAATTGTCAACCTGCTTATGGAGCATCATTAAGTGAGAAATTTCCAGTAGAAAATTTTTCAGGTTTTTCATAAACTGTACAAATGTTTTTTTTTTTTTTTGTTTGCATTTGATTCAAGTTCTTATCTTCTTTTATATATATATTTTCTTGCATCTTCAAATATGCACTGATATAACAGTTGTCACAATAAAATAAAAAACAACAGCAAACTTGGACCTTTGTGAATGCAAAAAAGAGTGTCAAAGGAGGGTTTTTCCTTTGACATGGCATTTTTTTTTGGTCCAAATATTTTAGTAAATGTTTATAAATTTATGGATAAAAAATAGTATTCATATTTGTTTCTTTATAAATTGGTAAATGATAAATATTGTATTGCATTAGTTGTAAATATAAAATTATTCTTGTAAATAAACAATCTAATATATAGTGTATTTTTGTTGTAAATTCTCAAGAACAAAAATAAATATATAAATTCAGTTTCATCATCTGTTTAAGCTTTATTGCAATTCTAATCAGTGCATTTTAAAACAATAAACATTGCCAAGGAGTGAAGGTAGTTAAAATAATAGTGGTGTCAACAGAAAAGCCATCCTTTTGACACTCCGTTTTTTTGCAGGCACGAAGGTCCAATTTTGCCAAAAAAAAAAAATCAATCTTTCTGAATAAGTTAAAATAAAATTAAACACCCCTAATGCCATTGAAAGAATAAACTAGTCTGAGGCTACCCAATACAAAAGTATGTCACCACATATATATTAAAAATCTCAAAATGACTTTGTAGGAAATCTTGAAATGAGGAATGATCATTTTTATATTCTTTGTTATTTAAACTAACATTCTCATTTTGGTTGTTATACTCACAATGTTTTGGCCATAGCACTCTCCAGCCATCTTCAGGTGTCTTTCTTGTACTTGGTATTGAAAGTTGAGAGTTCAATCCCAGATTTTGGTAGTGCTGAAAAGTCACATACTCTGCTTCAGTGCAAGAAATAGACAAAATGACACAAAAGTGAATAAAACTATTAAGTATTAACTGATATGAGTTATCTCCCTTAAGCATGAAAAGTGGGATGAGAACAATCTAACCCCATGGATTGAATAGAGTGTTCAGTTTGAAAATCTGCGAAGGTTACCTGAAGAAGGCCAGGTGGTATAACGGCTGAAATATTGTGAGTATAACAACCAAAATGTGCAAAATGATTTAAATACTGAAGGATATAAAATGAATATTAATGAAGATAAAGTTTTCATTATTTTTCATGTGAAAAGAAATACAGCCTTTGCTAGTATATAAATTAACATTTTAATAAGTGAAAGTAACAAAAATGGTTAATCAGAACATTAGAAACTCCTGAATGTAACCATCTAGTATAAGTGGTATTGGTTGATATTGCGAGGTTCATTTATCTGTCAAATATAGCCCTAAACTTGAATTACCAATCAAAACTTATAAAGGACAAGCATAATACCTGGCACTGTGCAAGTCCCTTTTTCTTTTTTCTGTTGGATTATACAATTATTTCTTTGTTTGTCATGTAATGGTATTAACGTTTCTGTAGGTTTAAACGTTTTTGTAGTCATTTATGTTATAATCTATAATATTTGTTAAATTTTCAAAATATACTATTAAAAAAATGTCAACATTGTTTACATTGATTATTTCCTTTTTGCTGTGATCTAAATGCTAAGGTCGTTACCACTTGTCAATTTCAGAGCAGAAAAAAGAATTATTTGAATAACTAAGCAATCAATAAAATAAGACAAAGACCAGACTAGAAATGAATAACAAAAGACATTAGATAAATAAATAGATAAATATTAGATAAAAATATCTCAACAGATTTTCAATGATTTGTTCACTATAAAATTAAAATATGGTCAGCAATGTTTAAAGCCAGTTTCATCTCTTAATAGTAAGGGTATAACAAGATAAATTTTAAACTCAAAAGAAGCTCAGACAGAAGACTATTTCTATGACTGACAACAATTATAAATCATACAAGCCAATATATCAGAATCAGGTGAATAAAATTTTCCTTTTTACTGATGAAACTTGCTATTTAAATATTAATAATCTCATGCAGTAAAAAGAAAAAATACATTTAAAAAAACAAAACAAATGAATTATCTCCCTTAGCAATGCACTGATGTTTTATAAAATCCATATAAATGATGTTTTTCCAGGCAGCTTGGCCTTCCCCATTGGAAGACTAGTGTAAAAACATTTTAATGCCATGGAATACGTTGTTAGGGTCCCATCTACTTTTTAATGTTATTTTTGCTATATGATTTGGAACGTTTTGTAATTAGAAACTTTTACATTGGCATATTTCATTCAACAAATTCAAAGAAACTGTAGACATGACCAAGATAGGGCAACTTAATCAAAAAATTATAGCTGCATTATAAAATGATAGTATTTGTACACACTTGTCTGGTAGAGTAACTTTACAAGGTATATTTTTATCTCCTTTGAACTTCTTCAAAACCTGTTGGTCAACCTAGGTACTAAACAAAATCATGGGACAGAAAATCTCAACCTCTCTGCTCCTCAACATAAGAAGATAAAAAAAGTTGGTATTAAAAGTACCATTCCTCTACCTCTAACACAGATACCAACACTTAAAAAGTAAGATGAAATTTAACCCATTATACTTGTTATTTTGTGGTTAAAAAGGGAGATAACTACCTGTGTTCCAAAACAAGCTGCTTTGCATGCTGAAGACCAACACGTAATGAGAGAGGGAGACCAGGTTTCACTGTGACAGCAATGGCATCAATATCCTGTAATGCAATAAAAAGTTGTTGTTTTTTTTTTCAAATGGTAACATTCACATACTCACCCAAATGCAACCTAAAATTTGCAACAACTGCGACTATGAGATTGTTAAACATTAATTCTAAGCAAAAAAAGGGTTAAGCCCAAAATGAAATATAAACTGGAAGATAGAGAGAATGGAAGACATTTTCCCTGGTAATGTGGAACTGAAGAAAGGGCCATTTGGGTTACATCACACCTATGAATTGGAATGATGCACTAAGTGTTTACTTTTTTTTATCTATGGAAAATCTGGTATGCAGGTAAAGCAAATCAGGAAATGTCTTTATCTCTTTCCTGAGAAATTAGAAAAACACATCACTGGCAAAAAGAGAGGCAAACAGGCTTTATATTTTCACTAGCAAAAATGAATTGAGAAATAAAAACAGAGAATTAACCTGTTGCGAGGGTTAGGATTATGGAAATCATTCTGTCATAAGAAGCAGGTAATTTGGTTTGTTTTCACTAAGACCGACCCAAGGATGAAAAACTGTGTGTCTCTTTGTTGAGAATTTAGGTAAACAAAAATATTTTCACTGGCAAAAAAAAATTGGGAAATAATTTTTATTATTATTTTTAGACTGTTCTAGTTCCATGTGCCATCTCTAATGGATGTCAGTTATCAGTTAGACATGGCACATGGAACTAGAACAGTATACCCCAGTGAGCAAAATAAAGGGTTCAGTTTGACATTACGACCACCTGAAGAAGGCCAGAGCATACAACGGCCGAAACATTGTAATAAATATGGCGACAAAGATGAGGACAATAGTCCAAATAATGTACATAATACCTCATCTCAGAAATATAGACAGATAAAAAAGGACAATTCTTTATGGGAGTAAGAATCAACAGACTTTAGTAAATTGACTATAAGGTTCTGAAACTGCATAAGCATGTTTCCCTGTTTTATCAAGTTGAGGCCACCACAAGACAAGTGACAGAACACTTTTTGTCGTCTCTGTATTTTTTTTCTCTTGTATTGTTTGCTTTTGCACCTCACTAATAGAAATTTTTTTTTTGGTTGTAACTAGATTTTGTAGGATTGTCTCTTTTCCCTTGTTGGTTGATTAAACAATTTAGGATGGTAAGAACAACTCTGGTAGAACCAGAGGAGATGGAAACAGATGAAGTTCCTGAGGAAGTAAGAGAAAATACCACTATTCAAGCCCATTTGGCAGATTTCTTTGTTGATGTGCTGGAGAATGAGTGCATCAGACATGATATAATTAAAGGGGACCCCAACAAAGTTGTCAGTAGCCATAGATTTAGCCAAAGACAATGAGAAAGCTTGGAAGAAGACAGGAAGAGATTCAGAATCAAGAAATTGGCAGCCAGAGTAAAGAGAAGAAATCCCCTGTCATAGTGAAGGGTTCAGAAGATGAAGTCCAGGCTTCTAATCCGAAACCTCCAGAAGAGGAAGAAAATGAAATACCTCCATCCCATCTCCAGAAACAGCTAAGAAAGTGGTTCCTGAAGCATGAGCACAGAGAGTGCATGTATGTAGATAGATAGGTGGAGAGAAGGTTACCCCCACCCACAAGTATGTCTGTGTGAAACCTGTGCTTGATGTACTTTGGCAATGTTTTGAATATTAGGCCTGAAATGTGATAAAACTTATAAACTACATCAAGGGTGCATTGAGGTTGGGTGAAATAGCTCTCCCAACCACTATGGGAGTAATAGGCAGAGAAAGGAAGATGGGAAGTAACAAAATGACACTGCCTCAGAAGGCACAGCAACTTTAAGGAATAAAATACCCACAGGACCAACTTTACAAAACACCAAGTCTTGCCAACTGCCCACTCCTGGTTTTCCCATCACTTTTATTGACAGGAGACAGTTGACAGAAACCTGGATGTAAAGTTGCAGAGAGCCCCATATCTGAACATACCAAGCTGTTCTGCTGCTAACAGGGAAAACCCAGATGTAACTGGTTTTAACAGATATGTCCATGCAGGATTTTGGAGCCTCTTTTATATCTGTACTGATGCATGTTTGCCACATAAACGTACTCTCATTTTCTCGTCAATGAAATTTATGAAAAATCTGATTTATTTTTTTTTTTAGAGAGGCTGATAATGACTGATTTAAATCCCTTGAGGAAGTCAAAAGAAGAATTATCTACTCCTTAAAAATTAAAAAATTTAGCATCAACTTTAAAATATCAAATGACAAAGACTTGACTTAGACATTGAAGCCATGTGCATGGTGTCGCGGTTTAAAAATAATGATTTTTTTAAATGTAGAAATAGTTCATAAATTATTTTTCTGTTAACTTGGAGTGCACATGGCTACTTTACAGTGTGTGTTAGTATTCCCTAGCACACCAGTTCAGAAACACTGATCTATGGAGTATAATCTGGAAATTTAAAAGAAAATTTTTCTTACTTGGTAACTGACTCCAGACTCCTTTATTGCTGTTGTAACAACATTTTCAATGTTTACTTGATGAAGCTGTTGAGCAATTGGTGGGAGGATTCCACCAAGTCTAAAAAAAAAAATTAACCTTTTCTTTTCATAAAAAGTTTAAACTCAAAAATTCATTTTATATCAGAAAAAAAAAAAATCATTTCTTGGGTGTCCATTTTATCCAAAATTTTGAACATGCTAAAAACATACATAGAAACAAAGAAGAGCAAAAAAATTAACATACAAATTAATTAGAATATTTTACAATTACTTATTTTCATGGGCTGTCATCCTTTATATTAAAATTACATTGTTAAATGGAACAAAGCTAATGTCACATGATTATATGTATATGTGTATATACATATATATTATATATACTTAATTACTTAACTGTAATTATCCATATCAATCCTTGTTGTTATGTCCCCTGACTCCACAGTTTCATGGTGCTGTGTCCACTTTTCAAGTGGTTAATCCAGATATTAATTATTTCCAATTATAATAAAAAAAATAATATTATCAATGCTCTATTTTTAATATTGAGCACTACATGAAAATACCCGCTTCACTTTTAAATCATATATATGTATATATAATTAGAAAAATTTCTCTGTTTATTCCTCAGTCTGTTGATGAAGGACACAGGTGTGTCTGAAAATTCTGAACTTAAAACCTTTACCTCCGTGCTTCATTTCTGTCATATGGCTAATAATTAATAAATGTTTAACATACTGATTATATTGGTACCCTTTTATCCTTCTTTTATTAACTAACCTATCTATTATATATATATATATATATATATATATGTGTGTGTGAGTTTTTAAAAATATATAATCATCGCAACACCGAAATTCCCATGTTTCAAAACTGAAACCTCAATTTAAATTCAATCATATAAATTAAATTTAAAATACAAAGTTCTATTCCATTATCAAGAGATGCTAAGAATAACTTTTTTGAAACTGATTCACTTAATTTATAAGTTAAGACAAATTTGATATTTTGAGATGTTGGGGTTAAGGAAAATTTCATCTTTTTTATTTTAGGGGTGCAATTATAATATTATGCTCTACTGTTGCATTGAGTATTATTTTTTTAAATAAAATAGATGCTAAGAACTCTGAATTATAAATCTCATTGGTCTTTGCCTATTATTTTATTATATATATATATATATATATATATATATATATATATATATATATATATATATATATAATATATTTATTTGCCTTATAGCAGCACTAATCACTGGGTGTAAGGTGTGATGGAAACAGCCAAGGGGCATCAGACTAAAAGTTGCTAGCCTTTGGTATTGCTTGCAGGTTTTTCCCTTATACACATAGTTCAATAAAAGGTTTAAAATGTGTCTAAGTGTATAAGCATGAAGATAAATGCCTGCACAAAATGAACTTAGCCCAATCAGGGTTCAAAATGTTAAATCAGCTTACTGCTTTGTTAAAATATAAAGTTCTCTCACCATATGATGCCCCACAACACTTCCTGCTTCATGAAGAGCTCAGTGCATTTCCGAAGGGGGCATTATTGTTCACATTAAGAATTGTTTGAGTATTTCAGATCTTACTTGGTACAAAGTGAAGTTTTATTCTAAATATTTAATAATTTGGAAAAAAAAACTTAAACAATTAACTCAAAGACAGTGTGGGTACCGCCTGCATAGAAAGATCTTTAAAAAAGAAAAAAAATACCTTTCACAAAAAGAAACCTTTTTCTGTTTTATCAAGGAGTCAACTAGACTCGATGGTTCAATTATAATGTTTCTTTCTAATTTCATCATTAAATTTTTCTTAGATTTTTAAAACCTGAAGAGAAAAAGAAATGTTTAACTGCTAACTTAAGTTTTTACCTTAGATCCTAGATTTAATCTTTTTAATTATCTTCATATTATCTATACATTAAATATTTAAGATTCTAAACCATGCACAAAGGAAGCTAAACAATTAAAAACAATATTTTAATAATTTAGTAAAAATTTAAAGGAACAGAAGTTTAGTTTTAGAGATCTTTAATAAGCAGTCATTTTTTTTTTTTTTAAGAAAATGCAAAGCTTTGGATTAAGGTTGGGGTTGGTTTTGGCTTTTGTAATTTCATACATTGTCATGGTTCAAATGTTGGTTCCTAAATGGTATTTATTAGAGTAAAGGCAGTTACTTGGTAGTGTCCATCTCTGCTCCATGCAACATGTGACTGATTGTATTGTGTTACATGGTATTTTGGTGAATTAAATATTTGTAATAAAATTATGATAATTTGTCAGTGTATGGTCTGGAAATAAGGTTTACTAGTTGAATGGTTTTACTTGCTGCATGAGTGAACTAGTATTTTATTCTTATGATTGGACAGATTTCTGTTTTCATGATTGGATGATCTTATCAGTAAACCAACAATAAACAATTTCTGCATATCAAACAGGAAATTAACATTTCTTAGGCTAGACTCATATTCTGATTCCTCCTTTGGACCTGAAAAGTTATGCATCAGAAAAAAAATAAAGCTAAAAATATCATCTGAAATGCAATAGAATTTATTTCAACTTCATATTGGTTTGATTGATTCGTATTTTATGGCTTATCAATTTTTTGCAGTTTATTTAAAGCAGAAGATATTTTTAGATTCTCAGAATTTTTTTTTTGAGATGATAATGATCTAGTGATACAATATATATAATATTATAAAGTAACCCATAGCTAGGGGGAAAAGAAGTGGATTCATGCCTTTCTCAAGGGTATTTACACATAAGTGAATACAACAAACACAACTGAAATTGGAACTTAGCTCTCTGATTAACAATTCCAAGCCATTATCAGTTACACCACCTTTACACCCAAGTTTACAGCACCTGTTATTCCCCAGCAGTCATCCATCTAGGTACTGATTAGGTTTGATGTTGCTTAACTTCCGTGATTGTAAGAGAACCAGTGTTTCAATGTATATGGCCACAAGACACTGCACATGAGTAATACTTTGCTTTGGGAGCTACAATGGAAAAACACCACTGATTTTCTGGCAACTCATGATCTGTTACCTCTTTTAATCCAAACAAAATTACAAGCAAGCATTTTAAATTCAGCTGATTGCCAGACTAAACCACTGATCAGCTATAAGTGATTTTGTGCAAAATATAAGTGTTATATACCATACCTATGAACACTAATGGGTATGTCCCAATCCTCACAAATACGTTGGACTATTGTAAGTGGGAGGGGGTAATATGCTAAGTAGTTCACTACTAGCAGTGGTTTACCTACTTCACACTGCTGGTGAGTATTGTATTTTGTTGATTTTATAAAGATTATCATTTCATTTCCAACCTCCATTTTGGTTATTCCTCATTCAATAACCCTCGCTAGGTTACAACACTTTTCTTGTCAATTCTGTTTTACACTGCAAAATTACAAGCAAGCATTTTAAATTTAGCTGATTTCCAGATTAATTCACTGAGCAGCAATAAGTGGTTTTGTGCAAAATATAAGTTTAATATTGGTTTCTAACAATGAATGATGTAGAGATACAAGAGATGCATAATTCGTGGGTTAGTGGTATGGTACAATAGATAATCTGACATGGTTCTGGGACCATAAATGCCAAATAATTAGTGGCATACCTGCTAAAAAAGACATCATCATCTTGGTTTTACTTTATCACCAAGACTCTCAAGTCAATATCTTGCAAAAAGTTGACAGATATTGACTATGCAGATGATATAGCTATTGCTGCAGTTACCAATACCACAGTAATCCTACATCATCTAGAATATGCTGCTAATGATGATTGACTATGTCAATGCCTCTAAAACTCAATTCATAGACTTCAACCAGCAAATCTCAATACAAACTTTCTCAGGTGAATCAATGAAATCTGTCGAATCCTTTACATATCTAAGAGGCAAGATAAATTCTACTGAAAAGGATGTGAAAATTTGCATAGCTAAAGCCTGGACCGCCTTGAAAAAAAATTGATATAATCCAGAAATCTTATCTACCAGACAACCTCAAGTGAAGATACTTTCAAGTCACTGTAGTGTTAATGTATGGTGCCACTGCCTGGGTGTTAACTAAAACCCTACAGGGTGATAGAACCAACACTTGGATGCTGGAACTATATTTAACATCACCTGGAGACAACATCCAACTAAATCACAGCTCTATGGACCCATCCCTGATATGTGACCATGAATGCAGAATGTAATTTGCAGGACACTGCTGGCAAGCAAAACAAGAACTCACAAGTGATCTACTGTTCTGGACACCTAGCCATGGAGCAAAACAAAGTGGTCACCCAGCAACTACCTATATTGACAGGCTATGTTATGACACAGAATACCTCCCTAATGACCTTTTTGCAGGATTTTTATGGATGACTCATTAATGTCCACAGCTAACTCAACCTAAGAATAAAATTACATAAAAATACCACCAATTTTCTAGAAACTGGAGGCTTGGTACCTCTCTTAATCTCAACAAATTTAAAATTATTTAATTTTCATACAATTGCAAAAGTAATATACTGGGCAGCCACAGTGTGTGGTGCGCAATCACTTAATTGTTTGCTGAGATGTGAGAGATGTATAATTAGTGGGTTTAGGCTATTACTAAAATGATATTATGTGATATAGTCTATTACTAAAATGATATTATGTGATATAGGCTATTACTAAAATGATATTATGTGACTTCTGTTGGTCTGGCAAAATGGATAATCAGGCATTGTTCAGGAACAAAGAGTGCCAAAAAATCATTAGCATACTTCTATCTTGAAGTTTAAAATATAGATTCATGAACTATTTTAAAGATACTTTACCTTGAAGCAGTAAAGGAACTACAATTACAAGAACACCACCAATTTTCTACTAACTAATGGTCTGGCACAAATTTTAATATGAACAAAATTAAAAGCAAGCATTTTAATTTCAGCTGATTGTCAGATTAATTTATTTGTGGGTAATATGTTTAATATAAATTTCTAATAATGGCTGATGCTGTATAATTTCTCAACCGGTGCATCCCAAGTTAACAGAAGAATAATTTATTAATTATTTTTATATTTAAAAAAATCTTTATTTTTAAAAAGTTACAAACACCAAGCAATGCAATGTCTTAAAAATAAATGCTTATTTCAGGAGACTTCTTTATTATTTTCCTATTTTCAAATATTTCAGGATTTATTTTTCTTTATTAAAATTTAAAGTCCATCCCAGAGTTCTAGTTATTTGACAAGTGCGCCCTGAAGTGAAAAAAGTTGAGAAACACTGCTGTAGAGATACAAGATGAGTAATTTGTGGGTCAAAACTTAAAAGTTTATTATTGTGTACTGTAAACATAGCATGGTGTCCCTTTCCCAGTTCTTCACCAAATAGACATATCAATCCCTATGTTGTGTTTCGCCGAACAGTATCGTGAAACTCTCTCTTTGATATATTACCAACACAGCGCTGAAATAGAAAATTATATTATGTAGGGGTGACGAGACTTTCGAACCACCCTGTATATTTTTTACATAAATACTGATTTATCTCCTTTATATTGAAAGTAAACTTCCTTGGATTCGTTTCTATCAGAAGGATGAGTAAGGACTTACTTACAAGTCGCATCACAGGGAAAAATAAAAGTAAAACTGTTTAGTGTTTTTTTTTCTTCAATCTAAAAAGTACCACTGTGTTCGGAGAGCCTTTTTCAACAATCAACAAAGCACAGCTTCGTCGTAAAATGTCATACAGGACATGGCGCCGCACCATTTTTGTGCCACGAAAACGATATTCATAGAGATCTTCTCGATATGTGACAGCGTCAATGAAAGTGAATTGAATAAAAAACTGAATCCAGTACATGTGCTCTTTGTATTGTTATTCTCATTACGTTTTGGTAGGGCGACAAGACTTTCGGACTACCCTGTAATTTGAAACGCTAAAACTGACTATGCCATCAAAATTGATGTAGCGAAAGTAAATAAGTATATGCAGAATTCGTTTGAAACGATGAAGTAACAATAACAATAATTTATTAGCAATATCTTAGAAACCTGTGGTAAACAAAACATGAAATGGAATTGAATGTTTATCAAAAATCTTTTGATGGATTTTCTTTTTTTTAGTCTACACATGTTATCTTCAAAGCCTAAAGGGTACAGAACACTTACTCTACGTGAGTAGAAGTTTGGGAATGAAGACCTTCTCCAAGGACACGACCCCAGTTGTCCACTACAGCGGCTCCGGTGTCATCACAGCTCGTCTCTATCCCAAGAACTAGTCTCCGCGTTACACCTGTATATTCCCCGAGTGGAAGAAATGGTCGAGACGTATTACTACTGTAGTAATGTTGCGTTTTCCTCAACACGGCTCTCTTGAGCAGACGAAACAAATGTAAAGAAAGCGATGTTGTTGGGACATGCCGGCAACACACCTGCACAATGGAGGCTGCCATCTTGGCTTGATAACCCATAATTCTATTTCCTTGCATACGAAACTATGACTACCACAATTTAATGTTCGATGGAGCGGCAAGAATCAACAACAGTAGTGAATGATGAAGTTATATTCCCAATTGGGTTATGATTATTACCCACTTTAAGCTTTAAAAGTTACGATTTTGAATAATGATTTTTTAGACATGAAACCCAACACCTACGCACTGAAATGTTTGTACTGTAGTAACAATCTCCGTTACATTCTGGCTTTCTACATTAACTTTTGAACCTCCGTGGGTGCTCTAAACTTGTAGCCTTGTACCAGTCTAATTAACTTAGTAAATAAATATCTTTTATTTTTGTATTAAGTAAGTGAATATATTTGAAATTATTAGCTTATTTGAAAAATTTGATGATAATGCCTCAGTGACAAATTAAGAAAAAATAATTCCTGGTGTAAACAAATCGCCTGATTATTCCAAAAATAGCATTAAAAATTAGAGGAAATCTACCGTTTAGGAGATAAGAATTCTAGTTAGGTCCCGGTTACCCTTGATTAGTGCGCGAAAGTTTACTGGCCTTGATTACAAATAATACCCCAGTGTCAAATTATCGATAGTGGATATATTGTTACATTGTATTTTATATTGTATTGTAATTTATCGTCATACCCAGGACGGACTCTGCTCAGGGGAGGAGATGGATTCATGCCTTTCAGGTGTGCGAAAATGAATGCAACAGGCTAGGCTGAGATTTGAACTTTCCTCACTGAAGTATACTGTATATACGTTTATTCCTACACAAAAATTCAACTCCAGGATGAACTGAACCGTTCTTATTTACTAAGCAGAAGCTTAACTTAGTTTGGCACAAGGCTACAGTTATGGGGCGCTCAGTGTGGATTGAACTCAATACTCAGCAATGATATAGGATCTTGATCCTATATACTAAATAAGAACTAGATGAGATATCTTTAGTTAGATATGGACAGTGGAATGTGTACAAGTATCCATGTAGATTATGTTAGAAACATGAATCCACATTCAAAACCCAATCTTTTTGCTGGAGCTTAAATTTCCAAAAACAAGTGTTGGAAATAAACATGCAACTATCCCATCAAGTAATTCCAAATAGAGACATAGCTACACATGAAACACATACATAGATATGACTAAAATGAGGAAGATGTGACAAAACTGAGATAGATAGATAGATAGATAGATAGATAGATAGATAGATAGATAGATATGACTAAACTGAGATAGATAAATATGACTATACTGAAATAGGTCGATAGATATGACTTGACTGGGATAGATACATAATTAGACTGAGGTAGATATGACAAGACTGAGAGATAGATAGATATGACTAGGCTGAAATAGACATGACTATGATATATGACTGGATTGAAATAGATATGACAACGGCAATAGATATGACTAGAGACCAAGATAGATATATAGATGTGACTGGACTAAGATCGATATATATGTCTAGCCTATGATAGATATAGTTAGATGGGTATATCTGGCTAGATTATATATATATAGATAACTAGATTAAGATAAATATATTATCATTAGATATAGATAGGTAGCTAGGACTAGACAGAGACAGATCTGACTAGATTGAGATAGATAGGTATGACTAGACTGAGATAAATAGATCTATCTATGTAATAAATGCGAATGTCAGTGTGTCACTGTGTCAGACTTCTTCAACTTTACTCTTAGAGGCCGTAGCCCAACATATTACATTTTGGAATCAGGCGGACTCTGAGCAAATTAAAAGCATTTCTGGCCAGATCCGGACCTGCAATGCTGAAATTTTAGATTCCTAAGTTTTTATTACCGTAATTGTTTTCAGTGATTTACGAGATTTTTTTGCGACAATTTTTTTTTTGTACGATAACAAATTTTATATCTTGGAAATAAATTTGGGAATAATTAACTGAGAAAATTCAGATAAAGTCAACCATGAAATAAAAATAATTGTTTGTGTGGAAAGTAAGGACCTACGTACATCAAATTGTCTTTAAGTGGCGGCAGAAATACCGCCCGATAGGACGGCTTTTAACTTAAGCTAGTAATTGAGAACAGACTGAGTTAGAGATATGTGAGAAAATTGAAGTAGATACATACAGGCATACATGCATGTACGTATTTAAGTAGGTAGGTTGGTTAAGAAAAACGTGTAAAAAATGCATGAGTTGACTTGCATGCATACGTAAAAATTTACAAAATTTAAAAAACCTAATTCATAAGTACCTAGCAATCGTCTACTACTAGAGTACAGTACACAGATTTGTTTGTGTATGTGTAAATCTTCGTAACAATTGTAATAATAAAATTAATTACATCAAAGCAATATAAAATAAGAACAACTATTTTAAACTCACTAAATCTGCATATTTATAACTAATTTAAAGAAAAGTAAAAAAGCCGGTTTTTCCTCGGATACGAAACTGTGGCTGCGTAAAATACGTCCTATTTTTTTCGTCTCCGTGGCATGTGTTTTGGCTGATGAAATCATTTCTTCAATTTTCTACCCGTTCCACTACCTCTTTTTTAGAATTCCTTCTAGCATCTTATAGATCGACTTATCCTTTCCTCTCCCCTGTCACAGTTGCCAGATCCACTCGTTTGTCGCAGACAGGCCGAAATCTAAGTTCCAGCTGTGCATTTTGGGCCAAATCGATTCCAGATAACTGGGGAACTAAGAAAAAGCTGCAAAAGTCTCGAAGCCTGATCAACAAAATGTCTCAAAACAATCCTGAAATAGAAGAGATTTTGGCTCCCTTTAGGGAAAATGTCAAGATTCAGGTCGGTATTGTATGCAATTGTAAAGCATTTCTTTCTGTATCATCAGGTCGATCTTTAGTTTTCTTTTAATAAATAAAACTTTCGGATGTCCAAACTGTTGCCAATACAGCCGGCTTATTGTAAAAATGTAATGTAGTAGTATTCCCAGACCGGTTAGTAATCATAAACTAAACTTGAAATCATAATTTCATTTATTATTTGAATTTGATTATCAAGAAGTTGACCGATGCATAATGTAATTCCTATCCCCAACGATGTTTTTTTCATTTTTTTTTCTTTCATTTTTCGCTTTGGTTTCACTTAACGGACAAAAAAAGTAATTCTTGTAAAAAAAAAGTAAAAATATAGGAATATGTTCCTATATTTTTTTTTACTGTAAATTAAAATATTGATGAAAAATGTTAAAACATTTCCTTTGTATAAGTTTTTGAAGTGCAGTTTATTTGAACTACTGGTCTCGTTACGACAAATGAAGGTCGACGAGTAGCACGGTGTGCCCTAAGCCCTTTAAGAGCTGTGGTCTCTTCTAACGATAGATACATATGCCTCAAAAGAAAGACGAAGGTTTGCTACCCAACAACGCTCATTTGGTTTGAATTCAGAGTTTTCTTTCTCTTAGACTGGCTACCATCCAAGGCCAGAGAGTCCACTCCGCATCCGCATTGTTACCGCGTTACTATCCGCAATTTTAATAATTATTAGTAAAAAAAAAAAAAATTTTTACCCTTGTATCGGATACATGTTGTCTGAACATTGTTACGATTAAATAACAACCGAGATGAGGACACTCTAGTCTGAAAACGATGACTAATGTAACTTTTAAGTTAAAAGTTGCATTGGTCATTCTTTCCAAAATAATTCACTCGGTGTATAAAAAATGCATTGATTTTTTTTCCTTTGTTTTTCTTTTTTTTAATCGTGATCAAAATGAGTCTTTCCTGTGCCAGAATAGACTCTCTCTAGAGAAGAAATAAATTTCATATTTTTATTTCTACTCTCAAACAATTTGCTTTTTTTTTTTCTTAAATCCTTTGAATTTGAATTGTCAAAAGAAAAAATATAAGTACACTTCGCGATCTAATATTTCATAAAAAATAACGTCAATAGAGATGTTTCTGACATTTTTACATATCGTATGTAAAAAAAAACCCCAAAAACATGATGAAGCCAGCAAGTACTACATGGTAATTCAGTGATTTTTAACTTCACAGATTATAAAGAAAAGTAATCTGTAGATTTATTGCCTACGTCTTCTTGAAGAGATATGGTATCAAAATATGTCTAAATTTAAAAAAAAAAAAGTATTAGTTTCTGTTTCTTTAATTAATTTTTTGCCATCCAGTGCGTTAATTCACCCAGAGCGCAAACATTTCAGAATTAAAAAAACTAAAAAATGATTTACTGTTCAAAGATTTTTCGTAAAGATACTTAACTTTATTATTTATCAACTTATTAAAATTTAAAACGGAATGTTTTTAAATATTTTTACACTTTTTTCACAAATCATCTTTTTGATAAATTAACTTCAGTTGAAACGTGAATTTTTCCTGTTGACAGTTTCGTTCAAATCGATGTAAAATATCATTGATCAAATTTTAATCAATGATTTTTTTGCATTTTTTTTCAAAGTCGAATGAATTATTATTTTAATTTGACAATGAACACTGGAATAACGTAATTAATGTTATACTATATTTTTTTAACTTTTTTTTTACAGTCGTAACAGACCGTAAAAAAGTGTAAAAAAAAAAAAAAAAGACTATTTTTTGTAGCGTGCATTAACAGATCAACTTGCATGGGGTGAAATGATTTATAAATTCTTTTGTTAGGTTAGGGAAAAAATACGGTACAATTAATAATTTAATAATAAAAATTTAATTTAGGGGGTGAGTGTTTGCCTAAATTTTTTTTTTTTTTTACTGAAGAAAATTCCCTGAATTTCAGTAAAAGACTTCTGCAACAAGTAGGTACTTCCACGAGATCGCTAAAAAAAAAGAGCATAGCATGAAGGAAAAGACGCCAAACTTGACGAAAACAAAATTTTATCGTCTAAATGTTTATTATATTATTAAGAAAGATCAAAGTATTTTTGGGGTATTTTTGTACATTTTAAATCGTTCCTAGCACGTCCGAAATTTTAGTTAAAACCTTGTTTTTTTTTTTTTGTTTTTTTGAGTCATCAAAATTGACCATTTTTTCCATGTTATAAAAAACTGAAAAATCCCCTTTGAAATTCTTTTAAATATCAATTATCATTTTTTCAAAACTTATTTTAAGAAAATCAGAAATTATAATGTTTATTTAAAATATTTTGAACCAAGCTTAACTTAGCTTCTGTGCCGAAAAGATGTAATTATTGTAATTTGAAAATAAAACAAAGCAGGTCATAAACTTTCGTGTCACTTGACAGATGATGAATGACATTAACGGATTCCATGAGGATAATTTGTTCTATGGAAGGAGAAAAGTGAAATTATTTACATTTAAGTGAACAAATTATTTACCTCGTTATTTTTAAGGAAAACTTTCAGCACTCTAATTTTTTTTTTTTTGTTTTTTGTACTTAGCTTTCACCTTTACGTTTACGATGCTTTATGGAAAATATATTATAAAGAAATTAAAATAAGACTGTTAAGACTAAGAGTAATATTAAATTTCATAAGAAAGGTGTCTAATTAATTTATAGGTAATTTTCTTATGAAATTTTATCAGAAGTGTACATAAAATACTATAATTTTATGTACATTTATTACATTTTACTGTGTTATTTGTATTTCCATTCATTTTATTATTAATTTTGATATTTCATTTATGGAAAAATGTCATAACTGAGATTAATATAAAATAAGATCATATAAATTTCATAAAGATGATACTGATACTTGTAGGTGCCCTTCTCTGTTGAAATTGAAAAATCAAATTAACTTCTCCACATGTGTTTCGCAGTAAAGGCCTAATACAGTGGAAAAAAAACAATGCTAACTCAAATGATGCAACTTAATTGTATTCTGGCTGGTCTTCCGCATTTTATAATTACAGCCTGATTATAAACACAAAAATTACATTTTAATTACTGTGGATCTTCTGATTAGTCAAAATGATACAATTTAAACGCCGCTAAAAAGATCTCTTCATAAGGACATTTAGGAAACCCGATGCAAAGCTTTTACCTAATTTTATAATATTTTAACAACTTAAATAAAAATCATTATAATTAAAAAATAATAAATAATTGTATTAAAATTCATTGGTCATCTAAAATATTGTTTATATTCCTAAAACAAATAAAAGCAAATAAAAGCATTTGAAATTGTAAATAATATCTTTGTTTTATTGGCCTTTGTATGTTATAATTCAGAGCTGATTTTCAGGTAGGGGGTCCAAAAAACAAAAAAACATGATTTGGCAAAACTTTTTAACTATTGTAATCACTAAACCTGACGCGATCGAATTTCTAAAGCATTTTCATAAAATTAGTTATTGGTTAAAATATAAAAACATATAATAATTTCATCATCTGTGAATAGTTTCCATTAACATCCCAATTATTTTTATTTTTGCAAGATTTTCCAAATTAATGTGTGTCATACAAAAAAAACGTATAAAAATTGTATGTTATTTTACTAGTTCCAGTAATACAAAGAGAAGAAAGGTTTTTTAATCAAAGTTTAGAAGGAAAAATTAAAAAAAATAATTAAAATAAACTTTGATCTTTCCTCTCAATAATAATATAAACATATAGACAATGAGATTTTGTCAAATTTGGCATCTTTTTCATCATGCTATGCTCTTTTTTAGTGATCTCATGGAGGTACCTATGAAACAAGTGTGAACATAGTACTGAAAATTCAGGCTGCATCTTACCAAAAATAATTCAGTATAAATAAAAAAAAAAAATAAATAAAATACTGCTTGCATTATAAAAAAAAAAGCAAAACACGTTATTTACTTTCAGTTCGGTCAAAAATAAAACAATAAATAATTTACTACTTATTTAACAAAATGTAATTTTTCGGTGCGATTTTCAAATTCATCCTGTTGCTGTTCATTACAGTATTTTCTTTCATATAAAACCATGTTTGAAGTAACAAAAAATGTAGTTTAAAAAAAAAAATCCAATTTTGAGTGTGATCCTTTTTTTTTTTTTTTTATAAGGACCTTTCGGAAAACCATAAAAAAAAAAAAAATAAATACATATATCATGATGAAAAAGTTTCCAAACAAGATAAAAACAAAGTTTTATTGTCAAAATGTTTGTTAGGAAAGTCCAAAGTATTTTTTGATTAATTTATTAAATTTCTTAATTCCTTCTAGCACATTTGAAATTTTGGTTAAAAATCTTGTTTTTCTTGCGTCAAGATTAGTTTGGGAAATTTAACGTCTTTTTTGCAGTAAAAAAAAAAAAAACATTCATTTGGAAATTCTTGCAAAAATCAAATCATTGTCGGATTTTAATGAAATTTTCAGGAATGAATGAAATTATTTTTTTTTTTTTTTTTTTTTAAATCTTGGTAAATATTTTTTTATATATATCTATTACCCACACTTTCGACAAATTAAGATTCTATCCTCATTCTTAAAAGCAGATTTTCATTTTTAAAAATTCATTTTAAATTTTGATGTTATCAATACTAGCTTAAAAGCCACCCTATCGGGCGGCATTTAAGTTAACACCTGTGGAAGGCTCTTGATTGGATCTTCATAACAATAGGTAGGGAGGAGTAGATGCGATAGGCAACAATAAACTACAGAAGAACTCAAAATTGATTGCTGCATTTAAGTATTCCATTTAATTCCATTAGCTTATCCTTAAAAGTTCAATGATGAGCTATTGTGAGTTATGTCCCTTTCATATAAAAAGTGTGGAACACAGACATTGGTATTTATTATATAGATGATTAGCTGTTGATGGTTGTGTCCCTTTAATTGAAGAAGTGTGACACACTGACATTGTCATTTATTATATAGATTCCATACATTAAATTAATTTTTTTTTTCCTCATTATGATCCCTATTATTATTGTTGTAGGGGTTTGTAATTGGGGTAATGAAAACCTAGTTGTGTGTATGATATAGGAATACAGGGAGATGAGTTGGAAAATGGAAGAAAACTCCTATATTATAAGACTGTTCACAAGTCTCATAACACTTTAGGGTCACAAGTACACCACATGTACCACAGTCATAGTTGCAAAGGACAAGACCACTTGATGGAGCCCATCTCTCTTCAGGGTGGTTTTGAATTCAGTTTTTCTTCTAGACAAGATACAGAATTGTCTGCCCTACTAATTAACCCATAGGTGAGGGAGAAGACAGATTCATCCCTTTCTTAAGAGCATTAGTGTAAAAGTGAGCTCAACATACTAGCTTGGAATTTGAACTACTTGTGGATTGAATGAAAGGTATTTTCACATAATCAAACAGCATCATTTCCCCCGTTTTCTACATGCAAGGAGAAAGCTCCACTCAAACAACTCCCCCTCCCCACTAAGAACTGCGACTTTGGGAAATTAATTTCTGGATAGTTCATTCCCAGAACACT